TCAATATCTTTATAATTTTGCTGCTGTTTTCGCTTATAAGCAGAATTCATTGAAATTAAGGCACCCCTCATAACGGCTTTGCTTGCATCCCAGACCTTCGATATTGGAGTGCCTTTGTTCATATTCAACGTGAAAAAGTCTTTTAAGTGGTCCTTTAGTTTCTGGACATTTGTTTCATAATTCAATAAATTCTCATTCAGTCTCCAAGTCCTTCTACTATTTCCCTCAGTTAAGATCTCCATCCAGACAGGACTATGATCCGACAAAATCTTAGGGAAAATCTTTACCTTCTTAATCCTAGGCATCAAGTCAGTAGTAGTCAAAATGAAGTCAATTCTAGAATAAGATTGATGCCTATCCGAAAAAAAGGTGAAATCACTTTCTCCCATATTCCTTTCACGCCATATATCTCTTAACTCAAAATCTTCCTGTAAAGCAAAAAAACTTTTGGGCAATTTGATTTGTGTTGAAGTTTTAGCTGAAGTCTTTTTATCTCTTTTTGGATCTATTATACCATTCCAATCTCCCATCATAATAACCGATTTATAATCCAGTTGCATTATCTTTTGATGCAAAACAGTAAAAAATTTCTTTTGTTGTTGATATAGGTTTGGTGCATATAATCCCACGAGAAGACATTTTTTGCCATTCAAAATAATTTCCACAAAGACAAATCTTCCTTCTGCATCAGTATCTATTAATTTTGGTATCAATTCCTTCTTAATATAAAGAACTACACCCGCTTTTTTCTTTTGAGAGGAAGCCACAAAATGTACACCCAATTTAGGATTAAATAAGTACTTTTGATCTTTTAATTTATTTTATTTTATTTATTTATTTATCACTAACTTCTATGCCGCCCTTCTCCCCACGGGACTCAGGGCGGCTCACAGCATGTTAAAAAACAGCACAAAAAAACATTTCCCCTATAAAACCAATTAAAACCAAATATATTAATGGCTGTGTCATTATTAAAATGTTTAAAAATTTTCCCTATTTAAAATTCACCCTAGGTCAGTCCCGCTTGTTGAAAAAGCCATGTCTTGAGGGCGCGGCGGAAGGTTAGGAGATCCGGGATCGTCCGGATCTCGGGGGGTAGTTCGTTCCNACTGGTATTTCCCATCTAAAAGGTATTTGCTGCTTCTTCAACTCTTGAGTCAGAAATGCAAACTCCTTTCTCTTTTTTAAAATCTTTGAAGGTATTTCTTTCAAAAGTATGATATCCTGAGCAGCAATCTGAAACTTCTGCTGGTAAAAGGCCTGTATAATTTCATTTCTACGTGTTTTTCTGGAAAAATAAACAACAATATCTCTAGGCTGTTTTCTTTGACGTGCGACCCATGAATTGACTCTAAATATTTTTTCAATTTCTCCATAGATAATTTCAGGGTCGCAGTCTAAAGCCAAAGCCAAGGCAGCTGTTACCTCTTCTCTCAGTTTCTCTTGTGGATTTTCCTGAAGGCCTCTGATTCTTACTGCATGTTCCATTTCTCTAAATTGTGTCATTACCACATCACTTTAAACAATCTCTATGGTTTCTTCTACTTTCTCCATTCTCTCCTCCACCCCTTCCATTTTTTCTCCTATTTCCTCCACCCGATTCTCTATACGATCCATATGAAAAGCAAAGCCCTGAAAGATTTGAGACATATTCTCACATAGTTCATCATTCTTTTTAGCAAGCAACTCTTCTGTCTCCACTCTTACTTGCTGTACAATTTGTTTGGACATCTGCATCTGCATCTGCATCAAAGAATCCTGTAAGTCCTTTAAGGTAATATAAGGTGGTGAAGAGGGTGGAGGAGTTTTAGCTCTCTGTTGCGTGGCCTGTACAGCTGGAGAGGAAACAGCTGACTTAAGTGCTGGAGGGGGTACACCACGTTTAGAAGCCATTCTGAAGCTTAGAAAAGGTTTTAATATACAGTCCCAAACAGTTAAAATTTTCTTTAATTTTTCTTGATTTTTTGGAGATTTTTCCTTAATTTTTAAAGATTTTTTTACAGTTTTAACAATGTAGCCATCCACAACCGGAAGGAAAGTAAAAGTGTCTCTTTAGCACAAAGAAGCGGCAAGCCGCAGCCATTTTTTTTTCCTGCAAAAAGTAACTTTCGTTTTTCAATCCTTGAGAAGAGTGCTTTGAAGTCTGAGTCAAAGTTTTGAGTTCTTTATAAAAAAAAATCCAGACTTCCTAGTTAGCTCCGTCTGTGAAAAATACAATTTAATCGGAAAAAATTCAGAAGTGGAGACGGCGTCTGGCTTCGCTTGCAGCGAAGACGTCCCGATCTGCGGAGAAGCTCTGAGCTCCGGAGGAGTTCTCACCTTCACCTCGCTGGGAACACCCAGGGAGGCTAGGGAACTCGACTCCTACTCACAAGCAAGCTCTCCTTCTCTCCTTTGCCCGGAGAGAAGTTTCAAAGCGCCCAACAGCTGATAAACGCTGTTTTAGCGCTTTTTACGCAGTCCTGAACGGGAGGCTGTCAAAACAACCCCCTTCGGCAGCCGCCGAGCCATCGGAAGTCTATGTTGCTAATCTTTTATATTTTTATAATTTTGTTAGCCAAATTGAATGCTCATCTAAATAAAAAGATGGGGTGAAAATTAGGTAAATAATATAAAATAAATGCTTTGCCTTCTTGTTTATGAGCCCTTAAAAACAATATTTTATTATGCTGTAATATGATGCAAGTTCTCTGTAGAGTCAGGAAGCTGCTCTAATAGTCTTTACTTTCCTGAGTTCTACCCATGTCTCAGGTTTCTCAACCTCTTAACTCATGTAGTAGAAAATAAAGGAAACTGTCTTTTGTCTTGTCATTTTTATAGGTATGTTTTCTATGTAGTGTGGCTTCTGTTGTAAAATAAAGAATAAATAATAGCTTGGTGGCACAAGTGCAATTTTATGTGCAGAAATACAACTGACACTACTTCCCCTGACCCATTTTCATCCAAATGTGGAAGGGTTTAAAGCACGAGACAATGTCTCCTTTTTATACAGAATGCTTTGGTGTGGATCCCCCAGAGAAGATCCCTCCTCCATCTGAACTCAAAAGGAAACATCCAGATCTAGCATTGGACCGCAGCTACAAAAACTTTACTCTTAAGTTTTACAAGTAAATGGTTATATTTTATTGGTATTTGTAGCAACTCTTTAGGGTTGACAGACCCCTTATTTTTACACCCTAACTGTTGTTTTGAGGGAATATTGCACTGATATTTGCAAACCTGAAGATTCCATCTAAGTCTTTCTGTGCATATGGTGCAGGTATTCCTTTGTATATTCATTACTGCTTTGGACCAAAGTAATGTGATTCCTATAACTTTATATCTACAGTCATGTGAAAAAGAAAGTATATCCTCTTTGAGTTCAATTGCTTTATGTATCAGGACGTAGTAAAAAATCATCTGGTCTTTAGCGGTTCTTAAAAGTAGGTAAATGTAAACAGCAGCACATAACATATTATACCATGGCATCATTTATTTTACAATAAGAAAGCGAAAATGATGAATATCAGATTATGTCCTGATATGTAAAATCATAGAACAGGGGTATCAAACTCGATTTCATTGAGGGCTGCATTAGCATTGTGGTTGCCCTCGAGGGCCAGGTGGGCTGGCCGGGATGGGTGTAACTGGGTGGTCACAGTCAACTGGGTGGGCGTGGCTGAGGTGGGTGTAGCTAGCTCAATGGGGCTCCTGTGGAAGCCCGGGTGGGGCTGGGGGTATCCAGGGGTCTGCAGTGGAGGGGTTGGGACCAGGGAAGGCACCAGGGCCTGATCTACCAGAGGAGCCTCGCTGACCCTCTCAGGCTGCGCAGGGGCCCCCAGACGGCAGCAAGGGCTGCCCTGGGCGGCAGGCGCCTGGCCTGGCCCTTGGGTGCTACTTGGAAGATGAGATTGGAAGGTGAGGGCCAAGCATGCAGGGGCCATGGCATGGCAGTGATGACGACCAGCTGGGCTGCCTCACCACGGTCCCACTGTCTGTCTTTGCTTGCCCATGGCCACCATGGCTGGGATGACACAGGAAGCCGTCTGCCAGGACGGATTGCGTGCCTCCTCCCATGCCTCTGTCTTCACCTGTTGCTTGGAGGGCCAGCCCGGTGATTGTGGCGCTTGGACCCACCTGCACTGCACAGGCTGTGGAATCCTAGCTGCCTTTTGGAGATGGGGGTTCCATGCCCTTCCCATTCGCCAGGGCACTTGTGGGCAAGACAGCAAGTGGCAGGCTCGTCCTGCATGTGCGGCAGAGCTGGAAAACAAGGTTGACGGCAGGGGCCAAGTGCGCAGGAGCTGCACCGTGGGGCTACCTCGCCGGCACACAGACAAGAGGCGGTGAGCGCACGGGGACCAATGGTGTCAGGCAGCAGCTGCAGCTCACCGGCCCTTCAGCTGGCGCACTCTGGGGCTCCGCAGCCAACTGTGACCATTGGGCCGGCCCTCCAAGCAGCAGGCACAACGGTGGCACCGGCAGCAAGTGGAGGCAGAGGATCAAGGGGAGGCACACAATCCGGCCTACCTGTCTTATCCCAGCCACGATAGCCGTGCAAAGACAGAAGGTGGGATGAAGCAGGCATGTGCCTCCCACCCACTGCGCCTCTGCCTCCACTTGCTGCCGGTGCTGCCGCCACGCCTGCTGCTTGGAGGGCCAGCCTGATGGTCACACCAAGCTGCGGAGCCCCACAGTGCGCCAGCCAATTGGCCGGCAGCCTGTATCTGCTGCTGGACACCGTCAGTCCCCATGCTCTCGCCACCTCCATTCTGTTATATTTGTGTACTTGTGAGATGTATTGGGAGATTGTGATAGTTAACTCTCCACATCTTGTTTCTGGCAGGCTCATTAATGTCACAATTGACTTCAAGCTAAAAGCCATCAACATCCAAACAATAATCAACAATGAAATTCCAGACTGCTACACCTTTTCTATAACAGTGAGTAGCCAAGTCTCCCCAGCTTTGCTTCTCAATTCATGTTCAAGGATTTCCCATTCACATATTATGTAGTAGAGCTGAAGATGCTGCTTTTATTCTTTTCTTCTCTTCATTTTTCCCCAGATTACATTTGACAATAAAGCACACAGTGGCAGAGTGAAGATCCATTTGGATAACAAAGTGGACATCCAAGAATGCAAAAACCCAAGTGTCTCTGGCAAAGGTATGAGTGAGTTACAGGGGGAGGAACATGGCACAAGTATAAGCTTGCTTCATAAGGGTCATTGTATTTGTCAGGGCCCACTTCAAAACCTCATCCTAAGAAAGCAGAATTCATGGAAGCAGTTTCTTCCCAAAGGAACTTTTATTAGGAGAAGCTGATAGCAGGCATAATAGACAGGATCTGAGGGTTTCCCGCTCAGAGCAATAGGTTAAAAGTATTCCAAGCAAACCCCACCCCAATAGTTCATCCAGTCAGTTCAAATGGGCCAATCCCCAGGTGTTAAGTCCGTTGTAGGAAAATACTGATAACACCAGACTGTCTCAGGCTTGCAACAATGTTTTGTCGGGTCTTCGCACCTTCCCTTCCGAACGAGGAGATAAACCAGTTGCCTGGAGATGCATTCCTTCCTTCCTCCCCTTTCGAGCTGACATCAAGGGAAAAGACAGTTCAAAGAGCATGTATGCGGAGACAGGAAAAATGTTATATTGTAGCAATAGAGGAAAACAAAGAAGCAGACTGCAGCGTTTCCCCCCTCCCCTCCAGAGCATGGCAGAACCCAGGAGAATAGAAAGAATAGAGTGAGATTTAGAATTAGAAAGAGCCCCCTTAGAAATGTGGGTTCTGACAGTACTCAACAGCATACTTAGGCAATGGATATAAACTATATAATTTACAAGTGCTTCATTTCTGGACATCCCTGTGGTTGCTTCTCTTTCTAAAAGGAAATCATTAAAGATATTTGTGGTTGCTTGCTCAGTACACTGTTTTCCCCCATTGATGCCAGTGGTTAGGACTGTCGCACATTCATTGAATTGTGGCTCGTATTATATTTATTTGATGATGTATCATTTGCAGCAGTTGCTCTTAATAAAGTGATAATTCCATCAGTTTCATATCCATGAGTAAAAATGTAATGTGTTTTCCAAATGAGTCAAAGACTTATATAATGGTATTATTATAATGTAAGTCAAAGGTTTACATGATGGCATTATTATACTTGATAGTTTGCTTTTAATTACTGTCTTAAGGCAAGATAGCCAGGTAGTTTACCTGCCTCTCTGTTTCCTTGCCCGCCAACCTTTCTGCATATCTCCCAGCTACTTCTTCCTCTCCCAACCCCACTCATTAATTTCAGTTCATACTATAGGGTTCTGAACCTGCCAGATATCATTCAGATGAAAATATTTTATGTTAAGAGAGAGTGGGGCTTTGGGGAAGACACAATTAAAGTTAATTCATAGAAAGGGAGTCTGGCTGCTGCATTTTGCACTAGTTGCAACCTCTGCACAGTTTTCAAGAAATGTAGAGCAAATAGAGTAGGTTAGCTTGGTCCCTCAACAGTGAGACATTGGTGAAGCAGGCACATCAGCACCTGCATTTTCTAAGTTGTATGAGAAGAACATGTCTTCCTTCCCCTATCCTTACCATTTTCTATAGAGGGACGATTGAAAGCATCCGGGCATATTGTATTACTATATGGAGGTATTATTATTTCAGACAGGAAGGCTGTGCAGAGAGTGGTGCGGATGACATAAAAGATTATTGGAAGTTCACTTCCTTCTATCCAGGACGTAGCATATAAATGATACTTGACCAGGGTCCACAGTATTTCCAGGGACATTACACATCCTCTCCATGACTAGTTTTCTTTATTACCTTCTGGGAGGAGGCTTCACAGTATCTGAAGTGTGTGTGTGTGTGTGTGTGTGTGTTTATTTTGAGAGCAGACATCAGAATTTCATTTTTTAATGTGTGCCAGTGCGTTCACAGAAAAAAGTGACAATAAATCTTATCTTATAAAGATAATACAATAGATCTTATTTTATCTATATTGCAGTAGTCAGGTTATAATCTTCACCAAAGTTGATCAACTGAGGAAGGGTTACTGTTGATGCATTAAACACAAATGATGAAAGACTGGCCTTGTCATGACTATTAATCTAGTGATTGCTGAGATCAAGAAGCACTTGCAAACTGAACATGTGCTTTTAGGGGAAAAAATCAATCAATCCAAAAAGGTTGAATCTCAATTTCTGATCCTGTTTAGTGATCAGCATACTAGTGTCACCCCAGATGACCTCTCCAAGCAGCTTCATGCAGATGTTGAGTAGAATGGGGAATAAAATGGAATGCTCTGGGACAGAAAATGATTAAGTCTTGAGCAGTAGTCTTCTACCATTATCTTTTGGACATGGCCCGGTAGAAGGTCCAGAACCACAATCAAGCAGTTACCTTTGGGTTAGAGCCTTCTAGCAATCCATACTATACTTGATAAACTCGTACTATAATTGATCAACTTGAAAGCTGCTAAGAAGTCCAAAAGAACTAGTAGGGCTCTCCTCTCTACATTTAATTCATGGGGTAAGGCATCCACAGCTGTTTCAGTTCCATAGCCTGGCTGAAAGCCTGGCTGAAATGGAAATCTGAGTTTGTGCTATAATTGGGGAGATTGTCTGAGAGTTTTTTTTTAAATAAAGTCTTATTGCTTCGTGGCTTGGAAGAACACATCCCTCTGCCAGTGGGCATTATACTGAGTCAGACCTTTTTATGGCTACAACTCAGTAGTTTCCATTTTTGGACATCAAAAAGATATATTTCTTAATGGCTTTAGCCAACATTATCTTGTTTTCTTTCTTGCAGGAGACAACCGCTTCCGGATGTTCTTTGATGTGGTGGTGATACTTATCTGTGTCCTATCCTTCATCTTGTGTTCCCGCTCAATTATCAGGGGGCTTCTATTGCAGCATGTGAGCATTTCTAGGAAAGAGCATCCTTTTCCTTAGTGGATTCCCCTGTATTTTCTAAGCAGGATGAAAAAGGACTTTTTTTGTGCTGAACAGCTGCAAAAATTCAAAATTTCCATGAAGGTGGGAGGAGAAACTGGCATATTTCCTAAAGTGTATTGCTTGTATATTTAGATTTGTTTCCTATAAAAACTCAACGTATAACTAGGGTCTAGTGCACTGGTTGTAGTTCATTCTGATCTGGATTGTCCCTGCTGTGCTTCTTTAAGAGGTGCAGCACTTTGGCATTTCCTCTTCTTCCTCTGCTCCTGTCTTTAATTTTTGAAATGCAGAAATAGAATTTGAGGATTACCTTAACATTTACATGATGACCAGATCTAGCCACAAATGAATGTAGTTTATTTAGGAAGGAGTAGTTATTTTCAAAAGAGAAAAAAGATTTTAAAAGAAAAAAAGGTTTGCTTGTATTAGTCAAGAACATTATAGGTAGTCCTCAATTTATGACTGGTCACTTAGTGACCATATGAAGTTATGATGGGAGCTACTTACTCCATGGATTCAAAATTCTGATGGCTGTCTCCATAGTCTCATGACTGCATGTCGGGCCTTTGGCAACCAGTCCTCATTTATGGATGTTTGCAGCATCCCATAGTCCCATGACTGCACTTAATGACAGTTTTGGCAAAAAACAGCATTTACTTCCAATTTTCAGCAAAACTGGCCCATAGCAAACAATTGATTCATGTAATGATCACTTAACAACTGCCACAAAAAGACTGTAAAATTGAGTCAATTACATGGGTGATCCAATTTATAACAGTCTCAACTTATAACCATGATGGGCAGGCTCCATTATGGTCGTAGGTTGAAGACTACCTGTATAAAAAATGTTCTGTAGAACAGATGCTAAATTACTGCAGGTTTTCTTGCTATGGCAGTCGGCTTATGTAATGCCCAGAGTTTGCAAATGTTCAAATAGTAGAAGAACATACTAGAAGAATTAAGTCATCTGCTTTTATTCTACAGTAGAAATGTGCAAACTATTTTGAATTTGAAATATTTCAGACTCAGACATTTCTTATAAGTCCAAATCAGTGCTGGTACATTTCCAGTGAAACTGAAACACCTTGTTTTGTACACTCTTTTCTTCAACGTTGAGTTTTCACATCTTTAACTTTTTCCAGGACTATTTTTGGTTGCCCACTTTTTGCTAGGTGTTATTGAGTGACTAGCATAAGAAACATGGTGATGTTTGAAATGAAATTGTTGAAATGATAAAGCTGTCTCTCCTGGCCCTGGCTTAGGGGAGATGAATAATTTGGCAAGTGACAAGTCTTTGAAACTAAGCTAATCATCTTCTAAACTTAATTGTATTCACCTTGTCCTCTTGCCTTCATACAGGAGAAGGTGCATATAGGAACAGTGCAGAAAGGCAAAGTCACAGGCTGGCAGATTTTGTGTTTGAGGATAGGCTACTTGTTCATAATGGTTCTTTTCTTTATACAGGAGTTCAGCCAGTTCTTTCAGCACTGCTACAACCAAAATATCTGTCTCTCCGATCGCATGGAATTTCTTAATGGCTGGTACATTTTGCTAGTGGTCAGCGACATTCTTACAGTGTCTGGCACCATAATGAAAATTAGTATAGAATCCAAGGTAAGCAGGTTATGACCTTTAGTGCTTGGAACATCTCAGATTTGGGTCTATAACCCAGAGCTGTGAATAGCCTGCTCCGATCCCTAATCATAAAGTATCCCTGCATAAGGTGTCCTTTGCTTGCAGAACTTTGCTGACTATGATGTCTGTAGCATCCTTCTGGGTACCTCCACACTCTTGGTCTGGGTTGGGGTCATGCGCTACCTGAGTTTCTTTCAAAAATACAATGTAAGTGGAACACATTTTTTTCTTTTTTTCAAGTCCAATTTAAAGTTGGGTTCCTCAAAGTATAAAACCTGTTCCTAGGATCAAATACTGCCTCAGCCATGTTTCCAGGGCTGTTACAGCCTCAGTTTAGGTCACAGCTGGCTTGATTAAAGATTCCAGAACCTAATCTCAGATTGCCTTTTCTTCATGTCTTCTAGATTCTCATTGTTACCATGAGGGTTGCCCTTCCCAATGTCATCCGCTTCTGTTGCTGTGTGGCAGTGATCTACCTGGGCTATTGCTTCTGTGGATGGATAGTCCTGGGTCCCTATCATGTCAAGGTAGGAGGAAATGCCAGGCATGAACAGAAGAGGCAGAAGTGAACCATTGATTAAAGTGCTGTTGTAATGCAAATCAAGCAATGGCATGTATCTTCCTTAGAAGAGGATGTGATTACTTTTATTTTGAAGACAGAAGCTGTAAAGTTTCTGAAGCCTTTGACTATGGGTGGGTCTCTAATGCATTCCTCTCCCTTCCATCCCAACACATTTCCCAGAGCAGTTGTGGGAGATTCACAGAAGTAGAGAGAGGAGGAACTTTTTGCTGGCGGATGTTATTCTGCCTGTGACATATCACAATCGCAGGCACCCCTTTTATATGCTCATTTTGTTTTGCTGGATTGTGGTGTCCAGGTTTTAGATGTCTTTTACAGATCTTTGTCTATTCTTTCGGTTTCAGTTCCGCTCTCTCTCAATGGTGTCTGAGTGCTTGTTCTCCCTCATCAATGGGGATGACATGTTTGTGACATTTGCTAGCATGCAGCAGAGCAGCTACTTGGTGTGGCTTTTCAGCCAACTGTACCTGTACACCTTCATCAGCCTTTTCATCTACATGGTGCTCAGCCTCTTCATTGCTCTTATCACTGGGTCCTATGAGACCATCAAGGTTAGTCTTGTTAGAAATTGCCTGTCCTATATAAAGGAAAAGGTAAAGGTTTCCCCTGTCCAGTCATGTCTGACTCTAGGGGGTGGTGTTCATTTCCATTTCCTAGCCAGGGGAGCCAGTGTTGTCATTTCCATGGTCATGTGGCAAGCATGGCTATATGCCAGGGTGTACAGGAATAGCTTCCCATTGAAGTGGTTCCTATTTATCTACTCATATTTGCATGCTTTCGAACTGCTAGGTGGGCAGGAGCTGGGGCAAGTAGCGGGAGCTCACTCCATTGTGCTGTGCTTGGATCTCGAACCTGGGCTGTCAGCTTTCCAGCTGACAAGCTCAGAGTGTTTAACCATTGAACCACTGAGCCCCTTGCTAGTCATATATACGAGGTGGAATTAAGCAGCTTTGCTCTGCATTCTAGGATGGAATCTTGTAGGCTTTTTTATCACAAATATGTGAATCACAGCAGATTCATTTTTTCCTTTTCTAACTTTACTACCTTAATGAGAAAGATGGTATGAATATCTATGGTTCCAGAAGTGCCCTAATCGCAGAGACTGTTATCAGGGTGATGCCTATGAAGACTAACAGCTTATCATGGTATAGGGAATGTCTTTGAGAGACGAGAGGAAAAGCTGCTAAGCAACAGTCAAATAAGATGTATTTGAGCATGGCAGAATAAATGGGGGCATGGCAAATATCTCAGAAGGGATCCTCCCTGGTTTCTTGAACTGTAAAAGTGAGGGGAAGATGATATACTTTCAGACCTTACAATAAAGATAGAGCTAGTATCCATTGTTTTGCTTTTTATCTGGACTACCTTGCAAAGCCACAGCTTAGCCACCCAAATCACAATAACTTATTTCTCTTTTCAGCATCAGTGTGAGGGGGAAGCATCTGTCACTCAGCTCCATGCCTACATAGCTGAATGCAAAGACAGCCCCGAATCTGGCATGTTCCGCAAGGAAAGCAGCTCTTCATGTTCTATTTTCTGCTGCTGTGAACGGTAGGGTCTGTAAGATAGATACCATGCCTGCCTTTGTTCCTATCAACTTAGGACTGGATAATTGGATTGCAAAGCACTGTGCTTATTCCAACAAAATCCAGCAGTGAAAGACTCTTCCAGCCAGGCAGTGGTTCACCTTAGAACCCTGGAGTGCAAACAATGCTGGGGAGCTGGAAGCATGTTGTGTTCTTCACTGGGAAGAGGACAGAGTTTAATAGCTGTCTTGTTTCACTCACAGAAGCCCAATGCAGGAGAATGTGCTGGTGGTGAACTGAGAGCCTCATGGGAACAAAGGGGACTGTTTTGCTGCTTCCTGATGAACTGTCTGGGAGACGAAGTGCCTGGAAGTGGACTACAAGAAAGCGAACAATGGTCTTTAATGGCAGGCTTTGGAATATGAGAGCTAGCAACTTGCAGTGTGAGCCCTATGTCTGTTCCCCACAGAGCTGTTGCAATAGCCCTCTGACTAACGATTCCTGGGGAGAGGGAGGAAGAATAGCTTTTTAAATAACTTCAGCCTTAGTTGGGCTGCATTGGACTTTATTGAAATCATTACAGTAGATCCCACCTTTCTCAAGTTGGATGAAACTAGGTTTGCAAAGCATTATCACGAGGAACACACAACTTTTAAAAAATAACTTTGTTTTAGAAGAAGAAAAAGGAATAGCAAAAAGGAAATGGCAGGAATAATCAAGGCAAAACCCTTGTGTTATCTCTGAGATCCTTAAGTTACCCATGCTTCCACTGGGTGTTTTGGTCGCTCCATTTGCTTCAGAAAGGACTAATCCAATGGCATTATTCTTTAAGCAATATCCAAAGAAGTAAACTTCTCTCTAACATATTCTCATCTGATTGGTACCTGGCTGGTTCACAATGCTATAGAATGAACTGAAATTAATGAGCGGGACTGAGAGGGATAGAAGCAGCTGTTAAAAATATGAAGCAAGATTTCTCCCATCTTTTCCTGTTCATGAGTGATACATGTAATTTCCATCTTAGTGATATTTTGCTGGTCTCTGTAGTATTTCCAAGTATGCCATCTGTAGTGAGCATTGCTTGTTTTCTGTGACATTCTAGTCCAGGGATAGCGAACCTTTTAGAGACCGAGTGCCTAAACTACAACCCAAAACCCACTTATGCATCGTTGGGTGCCGGGTGGGTGTGGCCCATTGGGTGGCCGTGGCTGCGGTGGTAACGACAGACTGGGTGGGTCCAAAAAGTTCAATCAATCAATTCCAACTTTGCAAGATCTTTTTTTTTCCCACGAGAAGTTGAAATTGACTGATTGAACTTTGTTTTTTGCACACGGCAGCATAGGCCTAAAGCGAAAAGGTTTTATAAAACCCAGCTGAAGGTTTAGGATTGGGGCGACGGTGCACGTGCCCACAGAGAGGGCTCTGAGTGCTGCCTCTGGCACCCGTGCCATAGGTTCGCCACCACTGTCCTAGTCCATCAGTTCCTCTGGATTGCAATTTCTATGTATGAAGAATAGATCGTGCACAATAGAGAATATTGTGCTTGAACAGGAATATGAATAGGTAAAAAAGTTTGGCCAGAACCGGAACAATCTTGGCTTCTAGTACTTTGTGGCAGAACATCTTGTATTATTCAGAAGAGGATGGTACTAGCTCAGGATTGACAGCCTGGCATGGAAAAAATCTGTCAACCATTTGGTCATTTTTGTACACAATGCCAGAATGCAAATATTTTGCAATGAGGTAATGAAGAGGCAATATCTATGTCACCATTTGAATGGCTGACCCTGCTCCTTATAGGTATCAGAATTTGAACCAAAAACACTTCTTTGTTGTAGTGACAAAGTGCCCCAGTGCACATCATCCCCTGGAATTCTCTCTGGTCTAGTTCTAATCCCCCCTCCGGTGACCCGCAAGGCTTGTCTCATCTGATAAAGTTGCTTTGAGCAGATAATATCACATGTGTACCATTTCATATTCAACTTTACAAAATAGCTCATGATCAAAAAGATGAAAAGTACTGGGGAATTTTTCACTTCAGAAGCAGAAATTTAGGTATTGCCCTGTTGGACTTTTATTACAGGGAAGGATTAATTACATCCTCCCACCACTGTATGTTCCTGTCTATTAAATAAGTTAGTTTAAAAAAATCAAGTGACCCAAATAATGTTAAATAAAGGCCAGTTGTTTTAAATTTAATACAACTGTAACAAAGAATAAAACATTAATTTGAATTTTTCCTGCTAGTATAATTTAAGAAGTACAGTTCTGGACTATAAAAATCAATTATTTATAGCCAACAATATTATTCAAATAAATGAGAAAAACATGAAGAGGGAAAGCAATTTATTTTGGTTTTTCATCCTGAATCCTATGGCTATTATCACTACTGCAGTAACAAATCTGTATATTTAATATCAAAAACCTAGCAACTGCAAAAGACCAGTTGGTTTTACAATGTTTATCCTGAAGTCTATTCTCCTATCCCGAACTCTATCCTGAGTCCATCTTGAAAATGGTGAATGTATTTATGCAGGGCTTCTGTAGAAAACAGTCCATACTCCTGCCTTTTTTACCTGGTAACTTCATTCTTCGTGGTTGAAAGTACAAGCAATTAAAGATGCCTATAACTTCTGTTGTTTGGTTCTCAACAAGAAGTTGGTGCCACACATTTGGACAATATATTTTATGTGAAGCAGCTAGTTTTTACCTGGAATTTTGCATAGTTTTGTTTGTATGTACAATATACTTTACCCAGTATGCATTGGGGGGAGGTTTATGATATATATTTGCATAATAGCATTAGATGCAGTTGAGTTTGTTTGTCCAGAAAGATTTTCTGCTCCTTATCCATGAGCCTTCTAGTAGGTACTTTGGTGTTTGAAAGGTACAGACACATGAATAGGCATTTGAGATTCTGAGAGGTTCTTGGTGCTGCTCTCTGAGCTTGGTTGTTTTCTTGCAGATGTTTCATTACCCAAACTAGGTAACATCAGTGCTAGTCTAGCACTGACTACCACTGGTGATGTTACCTAGTTTGGATAATGAAATATTTGCAAGAAAACAACCAAGCTGAGAGAGCAGCACCAAGAACCTCTCAGAATCTCAAATTCACATTCACGTGTTTATTTGCACCAAGGACCCCTCATTTCAACTTTGAGCTACAAATATTCTCCTTTATTGATTTGAGATTCTGGCATTCCATCTCTCTTTTATTGAAATTGTTAGATAATCTTTTTTACTCTAACCAGAGCCAGTTTAAGGTCTTGTTTAAGACCTCAGGCTAGAAACTGAAAGATGTAATTCTAGCCCTGCCTTAGGTGAAAGGCAACTGGGTGACCTTGGGCAGATCACACTCTTTCAACTCTAATAAACAGGCAGTGACAAACCATTTCCGAAAAGCCTTTGCCAAGAATATTGCAGGGCCTAGTCCAGACAGTTACCAAGAATCAACACTGATTTGAAGGCACCAAATAAAAGTTACTATCCCAAAAAGATTTTGTGACAGGCTGCACCTAATGACTGCCATTCTGTGAATAGGCAAACCTCCCATGGCAGCTATTTTTATGTATTTGTATATCTCTTAAAATGTCAGAAATAACATTAAGGGAACCCTATGAGGATATGTGCCAGCTTTATTTTATTTTTATTTTATATTGTTTTTAACTGTTTGATTTTGTGGGAAAAATCCAGAGAAAGAAATATTTTGGGGAATATTAAAAAGGCAGAATATATTTCTCCAAAGGAATAATGGAGAAGATCTTTAAAAAGGCAGAAACTTCTCCCTATCCCCAGCCAGAAAACTCAGCAGAAACCAACTTTTAGAAATGCACATGTAATAATCCATTCAGGAAGGTTGGAGTCAGGAAGCTAGAAGCTGATGAGATTAGGAAAACAAAAACCCCTAAAATCTACATACCCCACCCAAACTCTAAAAGACATGTCCTTTGGGGACATAATAGGATTAACCCACCAATACCAAAAGGGCACACTCAGACTCAGGTCAAAGTACATGACACAGGAAATACAAAGCCTCAAACAAGAACAGGAAACAACCTCAAGAGCCCAAGAAGGTATAAAAACCCACCGCTCCCAGCTACATGTGGTCAGTTTTCCCAGAGCCATGCTTCTGTCTGGCTCTGCTCTTCAGTAAACTAAACCTTCTTTCTAAAGCAGTCTCCATTTTGTTTATTCCCGGCTTGGACTGGACCCTGATGAAGATTTTTCTTTCAACACTTTTTTGATTGTCCACTGTCCAGAGTCATAGCTTGAGATGGGCAGCTATACAAATTGAATAAATCAATAAATGATACTTTCAGGAAGCCCCTGAAAGTTGCCACAAAACAGCATTGGCTGAGTTTGCCTGGTATCCTCATAAAGCAGCCAAACCTAATGAAGCTTAGCAGACCTGTCTTTGTCACTAGTTTATGGGTCAATGTGGTCAAACCACAGGAAATTGAACACAGACACAATTTTCCATATTTTCACACATGATCCCATTGGAGTCAAGTTTCAAGGGAAGGAGGAGGTGCAGTATGCCAGAGAAAATGGTTGGCTAGGAAGGAATCATGGAAAAGTTTATCCTGCTCGAAATATAGCCTCGATTATGCTATTGGGGAAAAAGGCTGCAATATAGCCCAACGTGCCGATCAGCAGAAAGATCCCTTACGCAGCTTGCCCTTCGTAGGATAGACGCGCTAAGAGATCGAAAGACTTCAGTTATGTTTTTGTCGCTGAAATCGTCACCATTCCCTTCCTTCCTTTCCAAGCTGATGCGAACGACTCCAAACTGCCTTTGCAGTTGTGGGCCGTCTTTCTTTTTCCGGGAGGCATGAGTTTTATCAGAAGCACGCCTTCTGTAAGGTGGAGATGTACAGCAGGGTAAAAAAGCGAAGTCGCTACAGAGACTCAAGCTTTGCATCCCTCCCGATCCTCAATCTCCGCATCTTTGTTCCGCCGCTGGGCTGGAAAAATCGCCCTTGAGCGAGATGCACAGCAACTGGTTCGCAGGCTGCGGGCACTGCAGAAGAACAAGTGGCTCCGGCGGTGGTGACGCAGCTTAATTGCGTCATTTTCCAGGCGCCGCTGGGGTTGGAGATGGGCAGAGGGAGGCATGGCGTGCAAAGGGCAGTCTGGCTGTTCGGAGCTGCGATGGCTATCAGTAGGTGAGTGAGCGGGAAGAAAGAGAATAGGAGGGAGGGATCGCAGATGTAGAGCACTTCATTAACATTGTCAGACCTACATCGCGCACTTGGTATAAGGGATAAGAGTGTCTCTGAATATGCGTAGTGTGTATCTTTCGTTTATCAGTTAGAAAAACCTGGACGTTTTAAATATGGACAGAACAGAAAGACATGATGGATGGCTTGAGACAGCTTCTATTATTAGAAATTAAAATTAAGGAAGCAGAAATTAGGGAGTAAGGACTTTTCGGGGCAAAAGTTGAGCTGTGTAGGACAAGATATATCAACCAGCAGGACTAAATCAGAAAAGTAGCTATAAAATTTCAGGTATCGAGAACATTGTATTTATCCATCTCACACCACCATCCCGGTAGTCATATTTTTTCATTATTGTTCTCTCTTTTTTGCCACATATTTGTGATCCTGTGGACAGGAGATATGTTAATAAATTACCTTTTGATTTGGACAAATTTGGATTGATACCTAATTCTGGGTGGGGCTAAGACAGGCTCCTTCTCCTTAGTATTTTGTTTATCTACTAGCTGTAAATATATGCCAGATGCTGTATACAATATCGAAGACTGTTGTAATTTATAATTTAGAACTTAAAGTTAAGAAAAGAAAGATGAAAGTAAGCACATTAAAGGAAACTGCAGAATGGAAGCAGCCAGAAGAAGGAGGTC